TTTTCAGCACGATTCTCATCCGGCAGTTTTCAAGTTATTTCGATCAAAACGTTCAGCTCTTTCAGGAGAAGGGTGCTATGACTTGGTCATCTTTTAGAAATATTTAGCCTTTTCTGCCACATTTTGTCCTCATAGGTAATGGATTGTGTTCATTTTTCATCCTTCAAATCTTTAGATCTGTTTACAGCCTTTCACTGTTACTTTCACATTTTGTTCTGGTTCAGCTTCTTGTGCAAATTTAAAAAAGAGCTATTTTCAGCAAATTTCAGCTGTTTTTTTCAGCTGTTTTGCGATCCTTTCAGATTCTTTCTGCTGTCTACATTTTTGCTTTTCTTCTATCTTCTTTCTGCTAATTTCAGATTGTTATGCTCCTTTCAGCTTATTTCTGCAAGTTTAAGCTTATTCTGCAATTTCAGCTACTATTTAGCTGTTTTATGGTAATTTTAGCTTTTTCAGCTAATTCCACACTTTTGGAGCTTCTGTCATCTCTTTCCACTTCCTTTTGGTAGTTTAAGCTTCTTTCTGCATTTTCAGCTACTTTTCAGTTATTTTTTGCTAATGTCAGCTTTTCATTTTAGCTAATTTCTAAATGTTTGTGCTAACTTCTGCTTATTTAAACCTAATTCAGCAATTATGTGTTCTTTCTGCTTTCTTTTGCTAATTTACGCTTGTTCTTCCATTTCAGCTACATTTCAACATGTTGTTTTTTAGCTAATTGCTGCTGTTTTTCAGCAAGTTCTTCTGCAATAAGCATTCACACGGCATTTTAGCAGGAAATGCAGTTTCTCTAGTTTCACTTTTGTACAGTCACCACTCAGATAAGCTGACGCTGAAAAGTAGATTTCATGTTTCTTTATGTAAAATTATCAATTTTTTGGTAACAGTGAGTGCATTTACTAACTTGTATGTGTTTTTTAATCTCTACTTAACAGGGTTTCATTAATGCCCGAGGCAGAGAGCGTTGGGGAGAAGAGTTAACTTTCCTTTAATTGGATGAAGTTATGTCTAAGTATGATATATTTACCACCTGGAGAATGTTGCCAAACAGGCGCTGCTAATTACACGGCCAGATAAAGCGGGAGATTTAGGTCTTGGCGATGTTCTGTTGGACAAAGTGAAGCGATTAGTGTTTAATTAAAATGCTTTTCTACCATGTCTGTGTGCGGTAATCTGTTAAGTGGGCTGTGGAGATGCGTAGGGGGGATTCTGGGTGATGATAACAACATGTAGTGGAGGTGAAATAATTTAGAGGTGAGAGTAGCCGGGATTCAGAACTCTCCCTCACCAGATGACATGAGTTTACTTGATGAGATACAAGAAAAATCAATGACAGGATTTGCTTAACAACACTTTCTCGTGCATGCCTTTGCTGTGAGAGAAGAAAAAAAACATTCAGTGTTTGCTGTGCAAATGTCCCAGACTTACAAATAGTGTTTGACCAGTTTATTTTCAGGTTCATGTTCTATCTATCTATCTATCTATCTATCTATCTATCTATCTATCTATCTATCTATCTATCTATCTATCTATCTATCTATCTA